CGCATCTCCCTATATCAGAGAACAATTTATACCCAGCCTGACATTCTCGCATACAGTCGTTTGCTGGGCCACGCTAGTTGAGCCAGCTGAGCACAGCTGGCAGCGGCGCGAGCAAGGCCACGAGGGGAACGTGATGGTGCTCGAGCCATCCCACTGTGAACCAATGTTTCGGCCACCCCACGGGTGCGTGTCGCCATCTATTGGTTGAACTAACGCCTTGTTCAAGATGGCTGCCGTGGGACCGCAGCCTTAAGAAGACACGCGCAGTTTATAGTTCGCTGACTTTAATTTAATAATGGACAGTACAAAAAAAAATACCTTTTTCAAAACGGCAGAAAAACCTGCCGTTTTGAAACTCTGAAGTATAATTGGAAAATTATCTGTTACTTTTTAAGTAACGCCTAATTACTTTTTTCCCAAGTAATCGATTAATCTAATTGAGCAGGTTTTCCACACAACAATAATGCGAACGATGACTTTTTTTTTCTTCCAAGTAACGTATGCAAGACTGCTTCACAAGCTACAGAAATTTCCGAGTGAACACAGCACGGTGTTGTCGTTTTCGGAAAAGAAAAACTCGTTCTTTCGTTGCACGAGTTCAACCAATTGAGAAGAACCACTCTATAGTACGTTACAGGTCAAGAAGGTAGCGGCAAATGTTCCTCAAAGGGAATCATATATCCCTCCGCCACCTCCGCATCCAATAGCGTCCCATCGTTTCCGTGACGTCGTGACTAACACGGGAGAGGGTTTTGCCTTCCTGTAAATATTTGCTTTATCTTTCGACTTTGTTTTAGCATTGTGGAAGCCACGAGAGGGAGATTAGAGTTTTCCGCCTCCGACGGAAACAAATACGACTTTCGGGGATTAGCTTCCCCCTCCGATGGATACAAAGGCTGCTTTCAGGGGCTCGCTTCCCCATCCGATGAATACGAAGGTCGCATTCTTAAAAGGTGGGATCGGAGACAAGTTGGAATCCATTGGAGCGGACCAAGGAGCGTTTCCAGTGAACTCTTCTTTCGATGGCGGAGGGATTTGAAACGGGTGCATCACGCTTGTGGGAGGAGCTTCTGTAACCGACTAGAGTCACTCAGGCTTCAAGAAGCGCAGGGCGCGGCGACTCCTAAGCATCTTATTATCGTTCCCCACGACCAGCCAATGAGATTGCAGCATTGCCCGATGAGAACGCCAAAGAACCAATCACGAAGCAGGAAGCGAGAACATAAGCCGCACCCCGCGTTTCTCCGTGACTATGCGGGTAGAAACTGAGAGAGAGGAGGAGACGGAGATCGGCACAGGGGGGCGTCAGAACGCAAAGCTCTGGTTGGAATAATTAGGGGGGACCTAAAGCTCTGTCTCCACTGCACTCGTCGAGCACGTTCGCATACGAAAGCGTTCATTGTTCTAACGGGGGTGGCGAGTGCAGTGGCGAAAAAAGTAGCTGAATTGTATGGCCATTGATTGGATGGTGGTACAAATCATGCTTCCCAATGGCCGAAACGATTTAAGGAGGATCAAGGATTACGTAAGAATATAAGAAAAACTAATATAAAAATTAGACGAAAACAAATTAGACAACAAAACGAACCACATTTTTACGCGTTGCTGGAGATGGAAATGCTGCCCTTTAAAGGAATACAGAGTTGAAATTTCTAGCTCACAAAACAAGGCTGGACGGATAGGTGGGACGATGCAAAACCCCAAAAACATCACTCATACTACGATGTCTCTAACGGATCGCCGTATTTTTGGAAAAGAGTTGCGCGAATATTGAACACGGCCGACGAGGCAAGGCACGTCACGATTCCCATTCCCTCTCCTCCTCGCTACGTGTCGTCGAGCTGGTGAACCGAAGCAAAGAGGAGAGAAGCGAGGCCGCTTTCCCTCACTCTCAAATTCTCCCGGGGGACAATGACGTCAAAGACCTCGCTTGATCGCGCCCTTCTTTTCCAAAAGTACGGCCATTCGTTTGAGATATCGATATATGAGTGATGTTTTGGAGTTCGTAGCGTCCCGTTCAAGGCTTCTGTGGCCTTATTTTGCATAATTTACTGAATTTACTTTTTTTTTTGTTTCAAGTGGATACAAAATTGGTTATGAAGCTATAAACACGCAAACGAAATCATATATGGTAAACGAACTCGACTTGTTTGCCAACCAAGTAAGCATAATGTAATCTCAACCAATTAAGCGCATAAAAGAACAGCGGTTAAACCTCATTAAAACAGGTATAATGTTACTCGCTTAAAACTCAACGCTTAAAAAAACGATCAATGCTATAGAGCGGAGAATGAGTTAAGTACATTCCCTAAATGAAGCAGGTAGCGATGTAGCTTCAGAGAACCGCAAATAAAAAACAAATTTAAAACAAAAACACACCAAGCTCCCGGAAGTCTTGGCAATTAATTTTAGTGCGTCGCGGCGAAGCAGCAGTACCCCACAAGTATTGATCAGATGACGGAGGCCATTAATAACCCAGGGAAACTATTAATTTGCCTCGTCGACGGGATGCAGCTTATCTCTCGCCCAAAGTCGCCGTAATGACCCCGACAAGAGCGTGTCTGTAGCGCCAGACTTCACGGCGTGCCATCCGTACGGTTACTTTGGAGCTTGCAAAAATAGTTTACGCGTTTTTTTATTTTTTTTTAGGTTGTTTCTTTGTAGAAGTTTGTATCTTATAGTCGTATACAGTGTGCGAGAAAGGTATAGTGTGAGAAGGACTTCCGCATTTATTTTTCATTTCACTCAAACAATTTCGTATCGACTTTAACGAAACATTTTAGCCCCCTAAGCTCAGCTAGACTAGAATAATTTATGACATTCTATATCCAACTTTTATGACATTCTATATCCAACTTTTCACGCTGTTTTAGAGCTGCGCTCTAAAACAGCGTGAAAAGACGAGGACCAGCAGACGAAGAGGTAATACGTACACCGTCGCATTACGAATATAGATTCATATTGCGTGCCGCTGTACGTATATCAAGCAGTGTTGCGGAATGGGTACCCCCATTCCATATTCCATTCCATTCCAATTCCATTCCGGGGAATTAGAGCTTTCGATAATTCGATTCCTTTCAACTCCTAGGAATGGGGACACAGGACCCATTCCCACTCCTAGAATGACTGAATCGTTCCATTCCATTCCTTTAATTCCGAAACCAAAAAATTGGCTCTTGACAGATACATTGTGCTGCCGGCATACGCACTATAAAGCTGACATTATCAAACGCCTAGACAATTGCAACAAAATGCAAAATGCCTAAAAAAAGCACTAATTTTACTAAGCGGAGCGCTGGTGTCACAAAGTCTTTGTTAACATTGTACTGCAAACATCCAGAAAGCCCCTTGATATGTCATTGCTTGTTTAAAACATCGGTCTTTCGACCACGTGGCTCGCAACAAACAACAAAACGTAAATCCACTAAACTTTTTTGCCAAACATTTTTGCATTTGTTTTCTAGGACATACGCGGCCAGCGTGTTTGTTTGATAAGACCATAAAAATGTCCAGTTCTTGCGTGGCGCAGAAATAAGCTATATTATGTACTGTATTCTCCAAATACCTGCACAGCAACACGGCTAGTACTCTGCTGAAAGCGACTCCATGCACAGTGGCAGGAACACATCCTCTGAGAAAGTACAACCTCTACGGCGCAGCACGAGGGACCGTGTAGACCATGTCACGAAACTGTCTTTCTGCAGGTCTAGTCAGTTCGGTCACTTGACAAGAGCGGTGACGACAATCCACTTCACCTTACGATGGACCCCAACAGACAGCACGAGAGCCATCGAAACCAAACGAGTGCCTTCTGAGTGCCTTCTGAATACAAAATTAGAGAAAAATCTTACGTTGTTGCCAGACTAAATGCTTTTCAAGTCAGTCACCGCCCATTTTTCGCGAATAAAAGGCGCTCGGTTTTTCAGGTTTTTCTTCTTCTTTTGTTTTGAGTCCACGGCCCGCGGAATGAAATAGTGCTTCTATTGAAGTCATTCTTTTTGAGAAAAATTTGCACTCTTCGCTGTAAATATAAAAAATAACGCTTTTTTCTTTTTGCAATTAACGATTGAAAACAAAGACGAGCGAGCCCCGTTCACTTCGAAGAATCGCCTGACGAGCCTACATTGATTTCACGGTCCACCTGAGTCAGACGCTGGATTTTGTTTTCAAAGTCTCAGGCGTCGCTGTCATCGGTCCCGGTGTGAATATTCCTCGATATTTTTAATTAATTTGTGCGGCACGCAAGTGCTACTTCGCGCTAAAACTTCGTCAACGTACCTTGAAGACATTTGAAATCTATTTGAAATGTTAAACTGAACATCCAAATCGTCTTCATGGTCCCTTTAAAGGGACCATGAAAGGTTTTTTTTTTTACTATCTCTAAATACTACTCAGAATCACATGCTAACGTTAATAACCGAATAAAGTTGCTTTAGTTTCCCTTGCTAAGGAGTGTGGCAGTTGCCAAGTAAATTCGAGAAATATCAGCATCGTTCATTCCCTCAACTCGGAGCCAGAACAAGCGGCCACGTGTCATGGTGCCTATCCTATGCCGCCAACGGTAATCATAGCCACGCGCTGGAGTTGGCAAAGTTGAAAACGCGTGCTGAGCTCTAGGCATTGTTAGAGTTCGGCTATTCTTATCTCCCGAGGCACTGATTGTCCCAGTGACTTAGACGTAAGCGTTCGTAAGGTAATGTAAGAAGACGATGCTGTGTGAACCAGACTGGCGACTCAACCGCAAACTCGAAGCGGTTGCAAACGCGGTCGCCAAACGATGCAGTACACATTCACGCGCACTTGATCATGAAAATGAGCGGATCCGCTTTGCAGTTGCGATTCGAACACCAATCTGAATGTTGCCTTAACGTCGGAATATGACGCTGGGACGTAAGGGCTTTTTCATGGAGATGAACCTATAAACACATTCTGTGCGAAAAAATATAATATGAAATGGCTGCACATGATGTGATTGCAGCGCGTTCTCTTTCTGTTTGCAGGTCACTCTCAACGACAGAATTTTGTCCTTCCGTCAAGAAGCGGACCTCGAAATCGACAAATGTCAGTATTTCTCCATCGTTGGCGATGTTTTCGTGGCCTCCGTCAGCATCTTCAAGCCAGAATGGGTAAGATATACTGTGCACCATGTGGGAATCCCAGTGAGTAGTAGAATTGGTGGACTTTTACAACTAACTGGGCGACAGCTAGCGCGGTCTGGCGGTTTCAGAGGTACTCACGCAGTCTTCCTATACGTTCAAACACTAAAAAAAGAAAAAAAAAAGAAATGAATGTAGCTTTTGACGAGATTACTACGGAATGGCGTCACTTTGAGATGCACGCTTTTTCAGAAGCGCGTTCGTTGTCTTCCGCTGTGATAACACACACCACAGCGGACTATAGCAAATAACACTCACACCTTACACACGAAAAATAAAGCAAAATTCAAACAAACCGCGCTGACTGACAACTCTTTTTATATAACTTTGTCTTCTTCAACCTCTAGCACCACCGAATTTCCCAATTCACGCGCACCGATCTCCTAGATGCCTAAAAATGTTTTCTCTTTTTCTGTCAGGTGTAAAGATGGTGTACTTATACAGTTGTTATAGTTCCTGGCGATATGTTCTGCTTCGATAATTTCTCGAGTTAATTGGTTTCTGTTCCTGCCTAAAATTGTACAGGATGGCAAGTGAACGCCGCACCCACAATCCCGGCAGTGTATGCCTAGATGCCCTGAGTTGGCTCTGGAGCTGTTGTTGTTGTGTTCCCAAAGCCTATCGTTAAGGCATCGTCCGGTCTGACCAATGTACACTTTCCCGCACGAAAGGGGAAATGAGTACACCACTTCATCGGCACACTCACATTCCACAGGTTCTCCCATGGAATCAAGAAAATTGCAAACAAGTTCAACATCACTGTCGTCTTTACTGCTCCCAATAAGCTTGGCAACTTGTGTAAACAAGGCAACTCACCTGATTTCCACCGAACAGTATGCTGCACCGAAAACCATCAGAACAGGTTCGTTGAGTGTGCCGATGAAGTGGTGTACTCATTTCCCCTTTCGTGCGGGAAAGTGTACATTGGTCAGACCGGACGATGCCTTAACGATAGGCTCCGGGAACACAACAACAACAGCTCCAGAGCCAACTCAGGGCATCTAGGCATACACTGCCGGGATTGTGGGTGCGAGGTTCACTTGCCATCCTGTACAATTTTAGGCAGGAACAGGAACCAATTAACTCGAGAAATTATCGAAGCAGCACATATCGCCAGGAACTATAACAACTGTATAAGTACACCATCTTTACACCTGACAGAAAAAGAGAAAACATTTTTAGGCATCTAGGAGATCGGTGCGCGTGAATTGGGAAATTCGGTGATGCTAGATGTTGAAGAAGACAAAGTTATATAAAAAGAGTTGTCAGTCAGCGCGGTTTGTTTGAATTTTGCTTTATTTTTCGTGTGTAAGGTGTGAGTGTTATTTGCTATAGTCCGCTGTGGTGTGTGTTATCATGTGCAACCAACTCACCCAAGCTGCTACGTTAACAAGATACCTTCCGCTGTGCTTTAGTTGCGCGTTCAAACTCGAAGCTCACGAGGCACTGAAGTGTTATCAAAAATAGGAAGCTCGCACTGGAGCTGCGACAATCGAAAGACCTCCCTGTTGTTCTCATCCTGCTACTGATTATTGTCAAAAACAGATTGAGAACGAAGCAGAAGCTACGCTTCCAGCGCCCCGAGCGTTCCATATCCTTTATTACATCTTGGCGTCTCTGGGGAACGCGCTACAAAAACACGACGAAAAGCTCGAAATGAAACTTCTCTTCACTTTCTTGGGTATCTGATTTGCAGTGCATATATAAGGATCGTAGTCAAGTTTTTTCCCCCCGCCCATTTATGTTTTTATTCCCTTCCTGGTGACTCCAAGAACAGAATGCGTGCTCCAACAATTGCGAAGAGCCGCATGGCGTCACACGGAACTGAAGTTATATTAAACTGTACTACTATGAGTCTGAACTTTAATATCTATATTATCAGCATTGATAGAAAAAGAAAAGCTGGCTAGGTGGCGCATTCCGCTGCGAGCAGAGCGATCTTTATCGCTCAGTCATGTTTCATCCGCTTTGTCACCTAGCTTCTTTGGACTCGGAATTGTTGCACCTTCCTGCCACATTTCCACAGTGATGACGCTGCGTAACGCTGCGCAGTTTGGTGTTTAAAGAGGAATACAGTCTACAGAGTTCTAGGGAGTCTTCCCAAGTGCGCGGGTGCAACCGTCGCATCACGGGAGCGGTGCTCAAAAGAGGAAAGAGCCGATGGTGCTTTATCTACGTTTAATTAAAAAAAAAAAAGAAGCTAGTTTGCTAAAGACAAACACAAATCACTGTCCGACGCTTTGCAAGCGTGAAGCGTTTATTCCGAGATGTGCAGTCCTACGAGGTTCACGCTCTTTTACTGGGAACTGGTGGTGACCTTATGCTATGAAATGCGGGGCCTAGAACGCATTTCCGACTTCTGGTGTTTTCACCGCGTCCCAAGAAATGCTCCCGCGATTTCCGCCTGATGACGTCATACAAGTGTCACGCTGTCGATGGCCGCGATCCTGGCGGTGTCACAGCAGCAATGGTAGAAGCGGCAGACGTCTGTTCTGCTGCAGGTCGCGCTCCAGCTTGACAGTACACGGAAGCTTCGGTAGTCCTGGGTTGGGACTTCGTGACGACAGCGACGCTGGCGTTCGCTCGTACTTTTTTACGGGGACTTTTAACAAAAACCGCCAGGATCGCGACGTCCGACAACATGGGGGCACGCCGGCTACTGTGACGTTATTCGCTGCCATTTGTGGACCACTTTTGGTATATACGATGAATAGGACGCAACACACCAGTTGGATACTCGTTCCAGGCACCACACTTCTAGGAGATTTTTTTTTTTATAAGGGAGAGGTTTAAAGCATTTTGCAACATTTTCGCCATGTAAGTAATCGTGCTGTATGTATGTTTAGACAGCCGGAAGTTAGCCTGCCTTAACGTGCGATTTATCTCTCAGCTGTAGACGAGAAACTTATCCAGCGCAGTACAACCGTTAGCCTGGGGTGTTTAGCGTGGACCACGCAGCAGTCATACACAACCGCACACGCCGGTACGATGCTCATCCAGGCCTGCTGCTTCAGCTAGATAATCACCTTTTCACTTTCATATTGCCGCCATGAAAGTTCCCTATATTTTGTGTGACCGAGGACCTGTGTTCTCCTTTTCTCCTCAGCCCGACCACATGCACGTAACCCTGGGAAACCAAATCGCGGCCGGTTATCACTTCACGGTGGAGGGAACCGTGTCACCGACCGCTGACAAGTGAGAACAGGCCACATGGATACGACGCTCAATACCTCCTATACGCACATTTACCTCAAAAACCGTAGTAGAAATTTTTTTACCGGACGTTATTAATCTTCTCGTTCCAGTGTTGAATCAAGATATATGTAGTTGCATCTTAGATTAGCGGCACGTTATTTCATCGAGACGTACACGCTTCAAAAGTCAAACTCATCGCTTCTTTCAGACAACCATATCTTGCGAGAACTACTTCGTGCAGCGTACGAATAACGCGCAAAGCGTCACGAGGGATGGAGTTTCTACGTCCCTTTTCCGGAGGGCAGAACGGGTGCTGATTGGAAACGAGTGCTGCGTCAGCGTTCGGCGGGGACTCCTGTCCAATCAGTGACGAAACGAGCCCTATCCGAGCGCTGACGTAGCAATCGTGTCCAATCAGAGCCCCGCTCTGGCCTCAGGTTGCTGACGTAGAAACTCCAGTACTTTACTTCGATAAGAGCTGATGAGACGAAGTAGACATAGTCAAAAGCGCGCCGTCATTGTGTTTGTTATGCTTCCTTGCGTGCTCTATCATCTCTAGACCAATCATAAACAGAAAAGAATGAGTGACTTGCGTTTTTGACGTTGTTTGGTTGGTCCCATTAGCTTGTAGCGTTGTCTGCGTCTGGATTTAAGCTGAAACGAAGTATAGAGCCTTCAAAAGAGAGTGAGTGTGCAGGCGAGCTGGTGATAATTAATCGTGATGTCTAAAACCCAAGGTGAGGAAAGAATAGGAAACTTTGAAGTCGAAGAAAAAGGGCACAGGAGAAGACGTCTGAGACTGAGATGTCTTCTCCGATACCTCTTTTTTTTTTTTACGTTAAGGTTTCCCATTTCTTCCTCACCACTCTCTCGGGTTTGAGACATCATGAGCTGTGTTGTCTGGGAGCTTTTGCCAAATGTTCAACCTTTCGAAGTGTCAGTCGGGAGTTTGGAGGCGAACTCTCCAGAATCGGGACCCCACCAGCGTCGGCTGCTACCGATTTCGTAATGTCGTGTCTACACTCCACCTTTTTTTTCCTCTTCATATTTTTTTTAATAATTTATAATACCAATGAAAGTGACTCATAAAATTTAGGACGTATATGCCGCGTTTACGTAAATATCCTTTATTGGATGATGTAAAATACAATGTCACAGAAAGATTATTGCGCAGTAAATATTGGGTTTAAGGGAGTGGGCGTCATTGGTCATAACAAAGGTCAGTAAAACGACGCACGCTGAAAAACGATGCAGTATAAGGGTGTTAAAGGGGAGGTGCAAACATTTTTGTGCTTTGTGGACATATAGCTAAGAGCGAATTCCTGGCGTTCTTAAACTATGGAACACGCGTTAGCTTTTCCCCCGCGCAATTTTAGGAGCAGAAAAAAATAAATAGAAGAACGAGCAGCGACTTACCGCTTGTCAGAAGTGAATTATTAATTTTTTTTATCAGAAATCTCTCAGCTATTGATTACTTTCTTACTTCTCTGTCCGAGTAACTCGATGGGAAATCACACAAGTTCTAGATACAATAGAATTACTGGCAATCGTTATTTTTGAGGCAGTTTAGTTGTTTTTTTCCCCTTCCGTCTCGATTCCTGCTTGCGACCGCCACGCCACCTAAGGGCATAAAACATAGCACACGTGCCGACGAGCGATCGACGTAAAGAGCTCTAGAAGCAGCGCAGTGGGAACGGGACAATGAAAGAACACACAACGACAAGATATGAAAAACATCGAACACAAAAATGAAACGTCGATACGGACGACAGCAGATACGCGCGTTACGGTGTCGTCGGTGTGCACTGTGATCCGAAACGGAGTCTTTGCCAGTGTCGTAAAAAGAGCGCTTGCCAAACGACAGGTGAATACAGTGCGGCACGGAACCACCAGGGGCGTTTGAACGGGTTTTACGACACAACCCACGGGCGAGAAGGATGGAGCGCTCGTTAAACACACGTTGACTGAGGGCTTATGCAAAACAACAACCCGCTTATTTCTTTTCCCTATTTCATTTTTCTCGTTCCTTTATTGCTTCACCTAAAACCCGTCAGCCCATTCTGGCAGTAATTCCGAAGGAAGGCCTGCGTGCATCCCGCAGAATGATGTGTCGAGACGACCACCTCCGACGGCGTAACGCAAAAGCGACGGTCGTGACGATTATTGCTTGCAACGTCGGCGAATCCTCTTTGGACATTCGTGTCATTTTCGGAGCTGTAACGTCGTAAGCGTCAGACCGAAAAGGTCTCGAGACATCGTATTCGGACACGTCGTTTGGGGAAGGCGGGATCAACGACCATGTGTCCCTTCGAGGGACAGCGTTGCTCAATTGAAACGTATCATTCGTACGACGTTGCGCAGCGTTAAATTTCTTATAGGGTAACCATCAAAGAATACGGACGGGTTCTCGCACACAGTGCAGCGCCGCTGAGTCAGCGGTGCTCTGAATGTTGGATAAGCGCTGACCGAGAGCTGGATGCAGCGCTAAATCAGCGTTATGTGTTTGCTCCTCTCGACCGCTGTGCGTTTTATACATCCTCAAACTTGCGTAACAGACGGAGACCTCATCGTAAAAAGAAAGACGACCTTTATTGCGATCGCGTGGCGCAGCGGTAGTAAAGTTTGGCCCACAGCAAGTTGTAACCTTGCTAGATTGTTTCTGTCTGCTCTCGACATTGGTGTATAAAACGTCTGCTCTTTTGTGGGAGAGTCTAGTGTACTTGGGCAACGTTCTCTAAGTCAATCATTCAACTTAATTAAAAAGAAAAACAAAAAAAAAAAGACATTTTGACACTTTTGTGTGATGACCTAGTTGCCAAACAGGACATGCCTTAACTGAAACCCTTCGCTGCTATTTCTTCTTTTACCGCCGAATTTTCCTTGAACGTAAAAACAGTTGTAAAACCAGCGGTTAGTTACAGAAAAAAGAATGAACCGATAGCCCAAACGAAATGGCTCGTGAATTTCCCCATGAGAGGGACGTGTCGTCTTTGTTTGTGTTGTGGGCACATGCTTATTACGAAAGGTACTGCATATTTGCGAGCTGGTTAGAAAACATGAAAAAACAATAATGATTTAGTTAACTTCTAGTCATTTCGGCAATTATTACGCTATACACTTGTGTCCTAATATCCGCCACGGCTGACGACCTTATCCCGGTAAAATATTTTCGGTTAATCTCAGATACGCAATTATTATTAAAACTATTATCATCCCGTACACTAACACGTGCACGTGTGCTGACACCTGGTGGGGGCACCTCGCGTGCGTAGAAACCAGATTGACGTAAGGCGAAGCGTCTGCGCATGCGTCATGGCTACGGCAGCGCCACCGCAGCAGTGAGACGTCAGAGCTTCATGTTGATCTATGGTCACTGACAGCTCCAGAAACAGAAGGCGTGGATTATAGACCCTTTCCAAAAGTCAGTATGGCAACCTTGATAACTATTATCATCATCATCATCTAGAGAAGATGATGATAGTAGGGAGACACGTAGAATGACACGTAGATGGGTATAAATACCTATAAATAAGGCTGAATGAGGGAAAAAATACTTAGAAGACCAGGAAGAAAATGTGCTAAATATGAGGAAAAGGAATGCAGCAATTACGAAGCTTATAGTGCACTATGAAATTACAATATATATAAAGTTGTTAGGGGAATCTGAAAAGGAGTCACGTTGCCGGGGTGGTCTTTTGGCAATGCGGTGTTATGCATGAAACCTAAGGTCCAGTCGACCCACGCTCCTCTGCCGGGTCGGCAGAGGAGCGTGGGTAGACTGGCACTGGGGGCACACGGGAATACACCAAATGAAGCAGTGCATGGAGGAATGGGCTGGGAAGTTTTCGAGGAAAGAGATGCGATCGCAAAGTTGAAATTTGAACAAAGCTTAGACACAATTGAAGATACACGATGGGCGAGAAAGGTATATAAGCATCTATACGTGAAAAGTCCGAACATCAAATGGACAAACCGATCCCAAAAAGTGAAATTCAAATACCAGCGGTCCAATGCTGGTGCAGAGCAGACTACCTCCGTAAAAAGGGAAGTAAAAGAAGCCTAGATAAAGATGGGGGAGAAAAGAATGCAGGGAAAATCAGCTTTAACAGTGTATAGGGCACGACTACAGGAGATAAGGAAGGAATATTGGTCTGATAATTCACGGGTGAGCTCGTTGTTCTTTAAGGCTAGTACGTGAGTATTGAGGACTAGGACATATAGGACAAAGTATGAAGTTATGGACATGCGCTGTGTCGTATGCCAAGGGGAAGGCGAGACAATATAACATGTGTTGAGGCGCACGGGGCTTGCTCCCGCCCTTCCTGGGGGGGGGGGGGGGGGGGGGGGCTACAGATTTTGCCGGAGCGCTGGGGTTTGCGGACAAAAATGAAAACAAAAATGGACGATAAGTGCATGAACGTCGTACAACTAATTGACACAGCTGGCGACAGGCGGTACAAAGGAAAATTGGGACTCCCTCCCGCGTGGCTCCGGCCCAAAATCTCAACCCTTTCTCCCAGTTCGCCCGGTGCCGGGGTAACGCCGACTAGGTTAGACCAGAGGAAAATTGGCGACTCCCTCGCCGGGGGAAGAAGCAGAAAAATAGTTTTAGTTTTTTTTTCGATCTCCCAAAGATTATCTCGATGATACTTACGACATTGCATAGGGTAAGCAAATTGGCGAAGTAGGGAAATAATACGTTTGGCTCTTGGCTAGGTGGAGCAAGCTAACACCCGTTTTAAAAGGTACAGCCGTTAGCATCCATCCATCCATCTATCTCTGTGTAGGGCATCTGTGCCAAACTAATGGCGGCCTTTCCGAGGCAGATGAAGGGAGACGTTGAGGGCACTACCAAGTGGAGAAAATATATCAGGCCTGTATGCGTTCGAGACGTCAGTACGACACGACGTACGAATTACATGAAGCGGCTGCGTAAGCGTTATTTCGGAATGTGGTCCAGTCAATGCGGAGCGAAAGTTTGTGTGCTTCTTTTGCAGACAAACTGGGGTGACGTGAGAACGCGGAGCTCTGATTGGCTCTGATTAAAGGATAGTGGGTAGACCTCGAAGCAAGCTGCCTTGAGGTCTACCCACTATCCTTCAATCAAAGACGATCCGAGCTCCGCGTTCTGGCGCCACCACAACCCCTGCAAAAGAAGCAGACGAACTTGCTCCGAATAGGCCTGGCACAAGCTTAGCTCTAATGCCTTTTTTATGGCGGAAATTTAGTCAGGTGCTTATATGGGTCACCCCTTTGTACTGGTCAGTCCTTACGCATTTGCAGCATCGAAACTGAAACAAATCAAGACGAAATTATGAGACGATCGAAGAAACAATTGTCCTCTCCAATTGAAGTGCAAAAGGGGACGGTGCCAGATGAGATGACGTACGACTTCATGACCGACATTAGCTTGTCGAAAGTGAAGCTACTTTTGGAGTCACCAGATGGCACTGAATTTTGAGAAGGGTCTATTTGGTGAGAAGCGATAATATATCGATGTTCGAGGCTGCAGCCTACCCTGTATTTCTCAAGCCGTCAGTGACTGTATCAGACGTTGCGGCAAATGTCTCTAGGTTGGTCATCAGCGTCCTCCGCTCCCCGGACGTGCACGACGACGTGCTGGTAGGAATACGGTGCCAGTTCGAAGGCGAGAAGCAGATGGTGAGGCGCACCAAGCAGGAGGGAGTCTGGCTGGAGGAGCAGCTGGAAACCCAGTTCCCCTTCGCCCTGGGCGAACCGTTCACCATGGACGTGGCCGTCCTCGAGAAGGAGTTCCACATGGCGGTCAATGGCCAAACCCTTCCGCCTTACAACCACAAGGTCTTCTACGGACAGGGGCAGTTCATCTGCATCGACAAGAACGTGACCGTGAAGAACATCCGCGTCTGCAGCATTAGCGTAAGCCGTCCATCCGCGTTCCGGACGGGTCTCTCAGAGAAGGTTCTACGGGGGCAAGAAAGGGACGTCTAAAGCCAGAACCTCGTGAACTCTGGTCGCCGACAGCTAAAGAAACGTGGGGCGTGGGCTATCGCCATCGCGCTTATTGCTTCGGGATTTGTTCTTAGGACTTTTTATTGACTTATGCGACACCCTCACTGGCTGGTGACTGGTAATAAGACGCTCGGTACTCGCCACATCCTGCGTATCTTAAGTTCTCGGTGACAATGTGGAGCGCAAGTTCGTCCGCTTTTTTAGCAGGGGTTGTGGCAACTTCAGAGCACCGAGCTCTGATTGGTTCTTAATGAAGGATAGTGGGTTGACCTCGAGGCAGCTTTATTTGAGGTCTACCCACCATTCTTCGGTCAGAGCCAATCAGAGCTCAGCGTCTCTCTGACGTCACTACAACCCCTGCAAAAGAAGCAGACGAACTTACGCTCCGCAGAGGGCGTCTCAATGTCTTTCTTAGGTTCGTATCACTACTTATGTTACGAGCCTGAGGAGGGCATCAAGGCACCCTTATGTAAGTGCTTCCAGAGTACTAGGGTTGTACTTAGCACCGACAGCACGTGATCACCAAATATATATATATATAGAAAAGATAGCATGATCCGAAATGGTAGCGAAGAACCGGCCAAAAAGAAGCAAGCCAAGGGTTCTTTCTCGTGATCCTGAGCGAAGACAAAAATGATGGATTGTACCAGAATGTGACCTGATGGGAAATACTAACGTGTATTTCCATTTTATCGATCCATCGTGTTACTGAGAAGGTGCCAGAGTAGTCCAGGACTATTTGTTTTTTTGGTGGCGTTAATAACGTACGCCCATCAGAACAGTTTTTCCAGATACAGCCATATCCTGCTAATGTGGACCAAGTTAATATCAATAAAGATAATTTCTGGGACAAACTGGGTAAATACGTGACGTAGAACAGCGCGAAAACACAGGACAAAGAGGAGAGAACACACAGGAGAAGGCGCTGACTATATCAACTTCCTTATCATAAAGAAGAAAAAAAACCTTGATTACGTGGGCATAATGTCTTCTTTTTCTTTTGCTGTGGGGCCGCTTCTTCTTTCTTATTTCTTCAAATTAGAATTTACCCAAAATCCAAAGAGGCCAACTCATTGTTCCAGAGGTTCACAGTTCGTTGGCTCCCGCACGTCGTTTTCTTATTTGCCACATGTTAGGACTCAGCTATCTCCCTAGACAACTGAGCTTGATGTCTGTAAACAATATTTGTGTGTCTGAACCGCAGTCCACTGCCGCAGTCACGGCAATGCATTGATAAATGGCAATATGCTCCGCCTTTTAAAGGGGCGATGCAACGATTTTTGTATTTTGCGCAAATACCGCTTAGAACGGATCCCTGACGTTAATGACCTATGAAATACCCGTTTGTTTTTCACCACACGCAATCAAAGTCACAGAAAAAAAAAAATAAAAACGAGCAGAGTTACTCCCTCAACTCGCACCCAGAACAGGCGGCCGCGTGATCTGGAGCCGATTATATGCCGCCAATGTTGATCATAGCCACGCGCTGGGGTTGGCAAAGCACAGGACACGCGCTGAGTTCTAGACATTGTTATGGTTCGGCTGTTATCGTCATTGCAGCGATTGGACACAGGACACTACCCGAATGTTTCTCGAGCTATCGATTATCACGAGCCGGAATCGAATGTCCACGCCATGCTCGGGTCCAATCTATGAGCCGCATTCAAATATCGTCACTGGGCGGTACTGCTACCGCCCAGCTACGTCATCAGGTTTTGCGAAGGAGAGATTGAATGAAAACACTCGGTTTTGTCCTTGAAATTAGACCGCAACAAAGGCGTTTCTTGGCCAGTGGCGTTGCGTGCGAGTATCCTTGAGTCCCACTAGTGATAGTAAGCTCGTGTAAAGTGAAAAACATTCCAGTTTAATATCGTTGCACCGCCCCTTTAATGAAGGCGGAGCATATTGCCCGCCTTCATTAAAAGCGCATGTTCTTCATGTTCGCATGACTTCCGACTGCGCATGTTCGCGCAGTCGGAAGTCATCTCCCAGTTTGTCCGATGAATGAGTGTCCACAGGAGAATGGGATTTCGTAGACTGTACCCTCTTTGCAAGGTACGAACTTCATGTCGTGCTTAATGTCGAATTCACTGTTGTCTGTTTGACTGCTTATGTTTGCGCGATTTTTTTTTACCGCGATGACAATCCAGTTTAGTTTATTGCGGGCTAAAAATACGACATCGACCCCATATCTCGAGCCGACTCCACTTATCCCATGAGAAAGGCGGTGTTTTTCATCGTGAATTTTCATCATGATTATATTTTCAGCATTTTCATCATGAATGAATTTTCATTATGAATATATACCAACTAGCCAAACTGTTCATTCTAGTGGGTGAATGCATGTATTTGTGTAATATTATAATAAACACCTCAAATTGTGGGCGCTTTGGGAACGGAGGCATCTATAATAGCGAGACGTCAGTGTACTATTTAGCATCGAACGGAGCTGTGGTGTTGATTTACCTACTCAATCCATTCTCCGTCCATAATTTAAATTCAACAAATATGATAGAAGCTTCGACATATTCGCAGAATTCGCACAAGTCAATGAGTGGATAGTGTACCATCATACACTCGGAACATCAATCATTGATATTGATATTCTTTAATAATACAAACAAAAATATTAGTCGTAATTGCAAAAGGTCTAGTCTTAACTGCCCAAACAGATTGAAAACAATTATTGGCGCCCTGAGCGCATTCCGTTGCGGTATGCACGAGGGAGTTTTAGAGCGTGAAACTGAGTGTCATAAAAAAGATGCATGTTAAAAACTTTCCGACACATTTAAAGGAGACGCTTGTAGAGAACAAATGGAACTGTGTCACTAAAACGTGAAGAATTAAATCCCCCTAGAGCTGCGAAAAACTACTAGAACTGCGTAGTGCCGCCGAGAGTTAAGCAGCTTCCTCGCTCAACACCAAGCATGTTATGTCCACTCTTTTGACAAAGCTTACGTAGGTTTCTTCTCGACAGCACAACTCGTGCCTGCATTCCTACCAAAGACAGCCAAGGGGAAAAAGTGCTCCGATTTTAAGCGCCGCATCCGACTTTTGAGTCTGAATAATCGTTCATTTTAACGCGCACTGCCGGCCAGAATCTGGGCTGGTCCGTGGCGCGAACCCAGCGAACAAAGGGAAGGCGAGATCGCGCGCGTGATTAACGATCATTCTTTCCGGGTACGTTGCCGCAGCACCCGAAACACTGGACCAGCAAGCCCCCGAACGTAAAGCAGGCCAGTCTCATCTTCCACCGCAGCGTGAGTCCTCTACCTGCGCTGAAAATTGATCTTTTGCAAAACGTGCAGCGCCCTCTACCGGCTCCTAAAAAATATTATTGGAAATGGTGGTATCGAATTCCCGGCCGTAGCAGATGATAGGCGAGAAGAGGCGACAAATTGAGCTACCCTTTTCCCTCCCCAGTGATTGGCCGACTGGCCAACCAAAGGGAGGGGGAAAAAAAACCAAAGAGGCGTGATTATAATAAACCACGCCCTGGCGTTCCTCAAGCTGCCAGTGCCCAATCACAGATCAGCCCTAAACCCAAAGTGTGCAGGGACAATGTGCAGCGTTTTACACGCTCGTTCTCTTTGGGCAGATAAGTGTCTTCGAGCCATATCGTTTACGGGCCATCTTCATTCGTTGGCTGCGACCAATCGATTATAGAGATGAGCTTTAGCTGATCGGTCCGATACCTCCGATAACGATATTTTGCATGCGCAAAGGCGCCGCTAGAGCATCGGGTATCGTTATCGGAACAATTCGCTAAGACCTCCTTAGAGTGATACACTTTCCGTACACTGTCAAGGAAAGCTGTGACGCAGGCGCGCTTTAATTGTCTATATATGTTAAGTAATTAGAGCGGACATTCTTACAATTCGAGATATTCACGTACACGTATTGCTTTGCCCGTCCGTTTGCTTCAGGACGCCCCAGCGTCGAGACAGATCATGTTGGATGTTGGCCAGTGCTACTACATTCAAGGAACCCCACCGCTTCATTCTAAGACGTAAGTTTTCGGAATTTAATTTTCGTCCCCCATAGGACGCTAAAAATATCCGGAGCGGCCACTCTCCGGCTAAGCACTGGGGACAACCAATGGCTGCAATTTATAGAGGGGAGCTCGACGAATGACGGATCTGATAATATTGCCGCCCGCAGAGCCGAGAAGGCAACGCTTGGTCACGGTCTTCTAGAAGATTCCCGGTCATTCTCGCAGCAGACGTAACTTTCCCTCTGCTTTGTTATTCTCGAAAGTGCCAGTTCATCCTCGCCCCGAGCGCGCGACGCTCGAACCTTCCTTGCCGAACTTTCGAGATAGTGACGCACGGTAGATAAGCAGCTGCCCGCGACCTTGTCGAGTCAGTCTCAGTCTCGCTCCCGCTCTGCTTCGCCGCCGAATCGCCACCTGCTTTTCTGCTGCCTCGACGCTCTTCCCTTACTTCTTTTTTGGTTGGCACAAGTTCGCCCATTAAACCTTTATTTTCAGTTTACTCTTTGCTTTCTCGTCGCCTTAATTCGTGACATTTCTGGTGGAGGTGCGGGGTACAAAACCCGTGCAGCGTACCCCTAGAAGAACTCGGTCAACAACCCCATTTCCCGACGACCTTCCGTTGAAGACTCAGAGCATCGTGCCAGCCGCCGTCTTCAAGGGCAAGCTCCTGAACTCGGACCCCCGCCGCGGAAATCAAAGAAGACCGCGACGATGACCGCTCCGCCCGTCGTTGTCCTGCCCGTCGCCCCCCGATCGCCGACAACTTTCCATGGCGAAATCTATGAAGACGAAGACCTAAAATAAGAGCCGTCTGCGCTGCTGCACTGTGCATGGTGAAACGTCACGTGTTCACTGCCACAACGCAGATAGTATATTTTAGGTCTAAGCATATTATCAGTATCGTCATTCGCCGAGTTCCTCCTGTGTAAGTTGCAGCCATTGCCTTACTACTGAGTGCTTTGTGGGAGAGTTGACACTCTAGATTTCTGCATAATCACTAAAACCTTAAGGAAAAGAAGAAAAAAAATAGACGTTGGGCGTTGCGATTTGCGGGCCTGTTGTTACTGTAACCTGTGATGTTCCATTATTAGCTGATAAGAATGAATAACGGAGCAAAAAAAAAAGAAGAAAGGATGATTCGTTTCTTGGGCTGCGAGTGATTTCTATGGCTGTTAACCGTCTCTCGAGTCGTCAGCTCAAGCAGGCATCCAGTGCCATAATTCATTTGCAACACAAATTTCAGCTTTTCCTATCAGTTCAGTCAATCAGAGGAGCGAGAAGTATCCAGCGCGCTAATAGTGATGCACTCTGGGCGCATCAAAATGGCGGCGTCTAGAGACGGTTCGTAGTGACGTGAATCTATCTTGGTATATGATATTTCCGCTGCTGACAAGGCAACATTATTAGATTAGCTAAGTTATGGAACTGCTCATAGACGCTGCATGCACGAGCAGTAACCCCCCCCCCCCCCCCCCCCTCTCACTCACCACGACTCGCCTCCCACCGTTCAATGCGCCGGACGGCTCCTATAGTAGCTGCAGTGTATTCTATGAAATACGTACGTTTCGAACTGCTGCGTCTAGATGGCGTTGCACCGTACTTTATGGAACACAGAGTTCGTAAACGAAAATCTAGATGGCGCTTTGAACGACGGGAAGCGGACTGAAGTGAGCGAGGGGGATACCCCCATCCGCGGGAGTTCCACAACTGAGGTAATCTAGTAACATTGACAAGGACCCGGCATGACGTCACGTTCAGCGACGCCGGAAAAAGAACTCAATCCCAGATTGCCTCATGCACCGACGCCACCGACGCGCTCTCATCCAAGCTCATATCCTCTGCTCCCCGCTGGGTCGGCTACCTCATAGGTTTAGGCTGCGTCTGCACCGTGCCTGCGGTCTGCTTTGGCTGCCCTCCGTCGCGGCTAGCTTTCGACTCGATCGGCACGCCAAAAAGGTTTCCTTGCAAACAAGCATTCTCATCACGGCCGAGGAAAACGAACGCCTGCTTGAAGCAGGGCTTGTATACGGCTTCCTCAACCCGCAGTGCCATTCTCAGCGTTCATGCGTATACGACGCCTCATACGCTCGTTTTCCAAAGCCGCGCTATGACGACTCGCTCGACGGCGCTACTGGCGCGATGCCGAGAGCGTCTGCCGCACACCGCCTTCCTTCTGGTCAGGCAAGTCTGTCTCCAAATCTCACCTGTTCGACACCGATTCAGTGGACGCCCCCATATATATATGGGGCAAACAACCGCGCTGCCACGGCAATGCCATAGCAGCGCGATTGTTCGCCCCCTACTAACATGGCGGCGTCCGTTAGTTGAGTTTTCTAATCATAATGAAAATTACACTAGACTCTGGTATACTCTGTTTCACCTTGTGTTGTACCGCAAGAAAGGCTACAAGCGCGAGCTCCTTGCTCTAGGGCACATCCCGGTGGCACAAGCTCTCGTGCTCCAAGGGCAGCTGCCAACGCTTTGAGCTCGTGCTTCTAGCCTTCGCTGTGGTACAACATAAGGTGAAACGGAGTATAAAAAAATGCGAAACATTGGAAAAGAATCGTCTCATTGGCCGCGCCTGCTTCTGTTACACCTCGCACTAAAAGTTACGAAGAATACGGACGCCGCCTCCTGCCCATTATGAGCTCTTTGGCTGCGCAGCTTCAAAATCACGTTCGCTAAGGGCGACACGGAGAACGCCGAGGCACTGCTGGTTCTCCAGCCCGTCCTCGCGGAGAACAGGGTGTACGTGTACGACGGGTCTCCGGAGCAGAAGGGCAACGGACTGCATGCCGACATCCGGATCGGGCGGCTCTTCTCGTGCAGAATCGACGTCGGAGCCGACTCCTACAAGGCACGTATACGCACGCAGAAGATGCCACGACTGGCTAGTGGGCGCGCCGCCATCTTGGTGCCATTGCCGAAAGTTACGAATCGAAAACTCGAATTGCTGCGCTTCACATGTGCGGTGTCCGGGGAACTCAGGCGACGTCGCTTTGCTCTGTTGGCAGGCCTTGCGCAACATGCTTGAAAACCTCGCAAACCCGTCAACCCTCCTTCGGAGATAACCACGCATCGCCTAACTTGTGTTCGTCTGCTACTTTTGCTGGGGTTGGAGTGACGTCAGAACGCCAAGCTCGGTTTGGCTCCGATTGAAGGATAGTGGGCAGACCTCAAAGCAAGCTGCCTCGAGGTCAACCCACTATCCTTCCAACCGGAGCCAATCAGAGCTCGACGTGTTTTTGACGTCACCACAACCCCCTGCAAAAGTGGCAGACGAACTTGTGCTCCGCATTGGCACTCGCTGGACCAATCAAGCCTTGCCCTTTCACACATACCACCCTGCTCTGTGTGCGTGTGTATATGGGCGGGACTGGGATCATGTGAGGTACATTCCTCGAGCTTCAAGATGTTACGCTTTATGTGAGATATTGGAGAGTGACGTACTTGTGAACTTCGCAGCTGTGGACCCGGTCATCTGCCTATGAGTGTATTTCAACTTTCGATCGTGTAAAGCAGTTGATTCCTGATTACCGTACCGAGCATGCTTTATTGCGTTCGCATATATGGTTTTCGTGCACGCGCAACTGAAGGTGGTACTTTTTGCTTGTAAACTTGTTGTTTTTTGTTTGTTTTTTTTTTGTAAAAGAAAAAGAACTCTTTTTTTTGCGAAGGTCACCAGGATACTATTTTCAGAATGTTCGGCATCATCCCCCAAGGGTGTTTCTTTAACGCCCCTAAGCTGCATTCACATTGTTCGTACATGATGACGAAATACACGGGGTTAGCTGCAGGACTGGTGACATCCTCATCTGCGAACACGTCTCAATCATGTTCGAAGCAGGTCTGTTACATACTTGTGCATGCATCGAACATATCTGAACAGTTTCTGTACGACCAATGCAATAGGGCCGTCAGATAGCATCCGCAGTGTGACTGCGGCTGCTATCGTGTGGGCCCTGTAACGAGCTAATGTATACCCTTAAGGGTGTAAAAACAATTTCAGTGGGCAGGCACTAGAGCACTATACTGACTCCGTCCTTCAATTGTTTTTTTTTTCTTTTTTTCAAACCGCAGGTGTGGGTGAACACACTCGTGTCTGACGATAACGTGGACCCGTACGAGGTGAAGCACCGGCTGCCCATCACCGAGGCACTCTTCCTCAACGTGTTCGGACACATCAAGAACGTCAGCGCTCTCAAGGCCGTCGAAGAGGTCGCCTGACAGGGTCGCTTTGCAAAGCAGGCGTATAGCAGATAAAGATTTCGCGTGCCGAACTGACTCCACGTGGAGAAACGGGTTGATCACCAGTGTTTGAGATGGTTTCGTCGTTGTCCTAGACGAAACCAGGGCGAGAGGCGCCCTCGGATCTCCGTCGTTGTACCCATTCGACTTTATAAATAAATTGTGACGCGCGGTAACGACGAACGTGGAGATATTTTACTTATTTGGTCCGTAACGACAGCCGATCGGTGGTGTGCAATCATCGTCATGACTCAGTGGGTTGCCAAGGCAACAGCAGGAGTGTGCGCGTCCCCACGGAAGGAAGAAAGTGCAGCTAAGTGCGACGTCGTCGAACTGGCGTGCGACGCAGAGCGATGGTGGCGACGCGGGCTTCACATGACTGGGGAGAGATTCGACTCCGCGCATGGCGGTGTTTGAGGGCCAATCCTACGAGGGTGGAGAAGGATGCTCGACTCTATGCGAATGGGGGAGCTAGAACAGCCAGAATGACTACGAGCCATGATCCGAAGAATGAAGGTGCCCGCGACCAAAGGCGAGCCAGGGCAGCGCGCCTTCGCAGGGCCAACCAAACTGGTTCGTGTTTCAATCTGAAAATAAGAATCGTCCTGGCCCGGCGGGAAAGCGTGATGCGTCGGAAAACACCGCGGATTCAGTCACCAATTTAGTTTGCAGTATACGACACGGAGCCAATGTAACTACGAGACTATTCGCGGCGAGAACTTTTGGTATCGCCGCCCAGTGGAATTTTTTTTTTCACAACCACGAGTGAGCATACTTCTACTTGCTTTTCTGGTGCAAGCATGTGTAATGCGAAGCCTCCATGCACTATACAAATAATCACAAAACCGCGTGGGTAGTACGTGCACTACCCATAGCGAGGCAGAGCCGTTTATACCGAGATTTTGGTCAATGGGCGGAGCTTGTTGTCCGCTAGAAGCAGCGGATTTTGCGATAAAAAACGGCGTCTTCTTTGTCTCGTTTATACCCGAAAAATCGCATAGAGTTCCTATGAGTCAGAGCCACAAAATGGCGGACGGAAGTAGTAATCGCCCGGTTGGCAGACTACGCTGCTGTGGCTGCCAGGCTGTCAAAATCTTCTTAAGAAGGCCAAACTCGCTCTGCAGTGAGAAAAACAGAAGCAACCTTTGCGAGCTTCTATGCGCAAATTGTGTTTTTAGGGGAATGTCTGTCTGGCGCATGCACTATTATGACGTTTAGTAATTCATAGCCCAGTGTACGGTCTCTAATATCTACATTCCCCGAATGAAAGTGTTCTTGGTTTGAGGAAATAAGAAAACCAAGCACCATGCATGCTTTCGAAAGCTATTGGCAACGTATGCGACTAAAAGCGTCGCTGTGAACGGACTTCCACGATAGACCTCTCGCAAAATCGAAGCGATCCTGGCGGCGTAGTGCCGCGCAAATCATCTTGGGTACTTTTTTGCCACCGTTTCGGTTTCGATTTGCTAGCTTCAATTCACGAGATACTGTCGCGACAAAATACAGTGCATGCATTTTTGAATAGGCGACTTTCCTTAAAGAGGAAGTACAACGAAATTCCGGCGCTTATTTCCTGGTCTATACGTGTTCAAGGGAGCAGTTTCACATCGGACACCCAAATATCGCGCAAAAAAAGTCATGTCTTTTTTTTTCTTTTTTTTTTGCGCCCAGTGTGCGAAGGAACAATCGATAGCTGTAGCCCGGTCGCGCAATGCGGGTGGAATGGTGCGGTCACGTACGTGAGGACGGAGGTGCGACGTGGTTCATTCTCACAGCCGTCGTGGTTGGCGTCGTGGATTCCACTGACGACTGCCACCAGTGATCCGTGAAGGAAGTGGGTGAGCGCGGTGGAAGTTTCTAAGACCATCCAACATTACGCGTAGCGACTGGATACTGCCAAAGTGGGATTTCGCATAACGCGAGGAATGTCTGAAAATAACTCTTTTGAAGCAGACGACATGAACATTCTCCAACTGACGCACAATTATTGACGGGAAGCCTCCGCTTTCCTCACGAGGCACGGCCAACGGGACGTCCCGACTTCGCTCTCCTCGCGGGAAGAGGGAAGAAAAGAAGGGTTTTTCCCTTCCTCGGGAACGCGGCGACGACGGGAGACGGAGCCAAAATCTCCAAAAAATGTCGCCTGTAAAGCTATCGCTTTAAAAGACACGGAAATGGATTTTAAGACGAATTAAGCAATTCGCAAATAGCACCTGATGGTTGTCGCGAAAGCCTCATTTGTAATGGCCGTCTAGAAACATTGACAGGGAGTGACGATGCCTGTCTCGCTTTAACTAACGTAGCCTAGAACTCTATACTGTGACTTAACAAGCGCAAATGACTAAGAAGAGAAGAGGGAACAGGACAGAGTGCTTACATACAGCTGCCAATTTAATAGAGCATGTAGAGAAAGACGGGGTAGAAGTGGAAAAGGAGAGGAAGAAGCTGGAAATAAACTCTCAGCTGCCACTAAGACAACATATTTAGCTTTAGAAATCAACTGTTCATGACGCCTCGCGTTGGCCTGGCGTGGGCTGTAGCGCGCGTCTTGTTCGGAACGTTCGGAACGGACGACGGCCAAGTGACAGCAGCCCAGCTCGTGACCACAACCAAAAAAGCCCTTTAATCTCACGCGCCGCCCCTTATATAATCCTCTATAAATGGTGGTGTCCTCTGGTGAGCAATAAGAAAAAACACCATCACTTCAGTAGCGCCCACTACATCTCCTCTTAAGATCTATAAGTCCAATCGCCTTGGCGGTCGAATCTCACGACCGCAACGTGTGCGTCTCAGCCGAAGTCCTTCTTGCTGAGGCTCTTGCGATGGTACTCGTTGACCCTCAACAGGCATAGACTGCTGTGAACTAGCCGACGGTTCTTCTTCTGCTTGGCCGTTTGAGAAGGGGACAAGATGCTGACGGTTTCGCTGCAGAGTGCCCCTGGGCGTTTCCACCACATATGACCGTGGTCGCTGAGCGGGGCTGAGTATACGGCCTCGGCAATTGACGTCCTTAACCCACACGTCCTCCCCCAACTTCAAGGGAGTCAGAGGACTTGAACTATGCCGGCGATTGTAGTTCTTTGCCTGCTGTAACTTGTTTGCGGCATCTCTCGCCTTAAAGTTCTGATGGCTGGGCGATGCTGGCTCAAGTCGTTCGGGTAAACCAGGAAGTCGAGTTTGGAGTTTTCTCCCCATTAACAACTGTGCAGGAGACACGCCATTGACACCAGGTGTGTCTCGGTACGCTAGGAGGGCCAGGTACGGATCAGAACTTTTTGCGAACACGTCCTTCACGGTACGCACCATACGCTCTACTTCGCCGTTACTCTGGGGGTACCACGGGCTGCTAGTATCATGGCGAAATCCGTACGCCTGAGCAAAGTTTGCAAACTCGTGAGATGCAAACTGCGGTCCGTTACCTGACCGCACGACGTCCGGGATCCCATAGCGAGCCATGCAACTCTTGACAGCCGAAATGACTGCTTGCGCAGATGTAGATACGAGAGAGATGACCTCAGGAAACCTTGAGTAGTAGTCTACAATCAGAACGTAATCACGTCCTTTTAGCTGGAAAAGGTCTATCCCGAGGCGCTGCCACGGTCTTTCTGGCGTTGGAGTCTGCATCATCGGCTCAGAGTGTACCACACGAGTTTCGGCGCATTTGGCACACTCGGCTACAAGATGTTCGATGTGTAAATTGCAGTTCGGCCACCAAACGCTTTCTCTGGCGCGTTCTTGACAGCGGCGAACGCCCTGGTGCCCTTCGTGCAGTAAGGCCAGGATACTCTGTCGCAGAGCGGACGGAATGACGATGCGGCGATCTAGAAGTAGCACGCCTTTGTAGACGCTCAATCGTTCTCTCTCCTTCCAATACGGAGCAATGTGAGCTGGCACTTTGTTTTTGCTGGGCCAACCTCTTTCACAGTAAGTTACTACCATGGAACACTCCCCATCTTGCGTTTGGTGCTGGCGGACGTCTTCCAGTCGACTCGCCACCGCTGGCGGCAGGTCTTTGAAGACTTCGCCAATGAAGAGTTCCACACTCCCTACTTCTTTCGAAGCTGGCGCGTCACAAGGTGCTCGTGAGAGTGTGTCGGCAGTCGCCAAGAGCTTTCCCGGTAATACTTCATGTCGTACTGATAACGCATCAGCTTGAATCGCATGCGTTGCACCCGCGGTGGCAAAAGCTCCAGGTCCTTTCCCCCGAGAAGGGCGACAAGAGGAAGGTGATCTGTCTCGACCTCGAAGTTCAGACCACGAATATATTGGTCGAACCGTAAGACGGCCCACGTTACGGCTAGAGACTCCTTCTCCGTTTGACTGTAGTGACCCTCCGTGGGAGTGAGGGATCTGGAAGCAAAGGCGACAGCCCGCCGAGTCCCCGAAGGTTGCTCTTGAAGCAGCACGGCTCCCAAACCATAAGAACTGGCATCTGCAGATACTACGGTAGGGTATCGCGGGTGGTGCTTTGCCATGCATGTTTCAGAGCTAAGCAGTGACTTGAGGCGGGCGAAAGCCTCCTCTTGGCTAGGACCCCACATCCACACGCTGTTCTTGTTTAACAGAGAGCGAATTGGTGTGGTAACGTCAGCAAGGTGTGGAATGAACCGTCCGATGTGATTAGCCATCCCAAGCAACCGGCGTACACCGCTGATATCTTCTGGTGGCATCAAATTCTTGATGGCTTTGATCTTGCATGCCGTGTGCTGACTGCGTGAAGCTCCACGGAGCCCAAGAGTTCTTTTCACTTCTTAGCTTTGCAAACTTCTGCAAAATGGCCCTGCTTCTTGCAGAAATGGCAAGACGATTTCCGCGCTGGGCAATCTTTCCGCAATTGAGGGTGACGTCCGAAATACTCACAAGTTGAACTGGCGGACTGCTCAGATTTGCCGTGATAGCGTGCCGATTGACTGGTCGCTATCTTCTTGCGTCTCGCGGTGTCGACGTTCAGGTTTTCGGGGGCGGTATTCCCGCGGGCAACGCTGGAGCGTGACAGCCGCTCTTTTTCGGCGTCCTCATGAACACGGGCCTGACAGAGCGCTTCTTCCGCAGAGAGCCTCGTAGAACGACACAACTGGTCAGAGAGCTTGTCATCCCGCAACCCCACGACGAAATCCCACTTCTGACACCATGTTCGGAACGTTCGGAACGGACGACGGCCAAGTGACAGCAGCC